CAGCACTTCTATGTAACCCTGGCCTTATCTTATTTTCTTACCCTTGTGTTCTTTTGTCCCAACTGTTTCTGGTATCTATTTAATCCCCTGGTATTGCATGTGTTGTGTAAGACAACTCCAATCCTTTCTAGAGAGAAGCAGGGCAAGTAAATGAAATAGTGATAATCTCTAGCAATCATTTAGTGAATCATTGTCAATGGTGTTTGACGGGGGAGCAGCCCTACATATGGAGCTCTCAGCCCAAAGGAAAGGCTGGCCTGAGGAAGTACTGAAATTCTCCTGGGAATAAACCTGAACCACACCACAGCTAGCTTCTCTGCACTAGCCAGAGTGCTGAAGGTATCACTGAGACAGACAGTCCATCAGGACAGCTCAAGAAACCTGGCCAGAGGTGGCAGCACTCATTCCATGCAAAGCATGCCACTGCCCACTTTGGTTCTGAGACTTCAGGTTGGTTCTGATTCACCAGAGGAAATCAAAGGGTGACAAGAATTTCTATTGTCTTCTTTTTCTAAGAATAGGAATACTGCCAGTTGACCTCACAGCCAGTCCAAGGCACCCAAGAACATGGGACATGATAATACTGCAGCAAAGAAAGTACAGCTCTGGCTCTGGACAGACTCAGGGAGCTCAACAAGGAAGCTGAGAAGGTGAGTGAGAATTCCTTCTCTCATCAGAGCTTCCTCCAAGGAGACTAACCCAGGCATAGAGATGAAGGAAGTGGGGGATCTAGCCCTTGACCTTGGAGCATCCATATCAGAAGACAGCAGCAATTTCTATGTTCCACACCTTCACCTTGACTCACAGGGACAATTCTCCCAACCCCTGTCACACCTTCGATGTGAGTTCCTGCCACCCCAAGAACATCTACAATTTTTCCACAGCCTGCTAAACGTGTGACTGGCCCTGCAAATGTGGGAGGGTGGACAGAGCCCTCGGTGCGGGGGAACAGACAGGCTGTTCATACTCCACTCTATCGAAACCAGCTGCCCTGTCTGTGTGGTCTCAGGCAAATCCCAATCCCTCAGGCCTAAAGGCCTCTTCTGGGCCCCATAACTTCACCTACACCCAGCAGTCCTGAGCACCAACTACGTACCAGGATCACAGGTGAGGCAGCCAACACAGGTGAGCCAATGACCCAGCCCTGGTAGGGTGAACAGCAAGTGCACAATGAAACGTGTCAAGTGAGGCCAAAGTGCTGACAGCATCTCCAGCCCAGAATTCTCTCCAAGCCCTAGAATTCTCAGACCTTCTCCACACCTCCACCTGCATGTCTACTAGCCTCTTTCGACGTGAACAGAACATAACCCCAGCTCTGCTCAAACCAGTCCACTCAGAGCCACCCTGACTGACATCAGGTGATAGCTTCTTCTCCCAGTTGTTCTGCTGGCAGTCGTCAGAGCTATCTTAAACTTCTCTCACCTCCATCCAGTCCTCCAGCAAGTCCTGTTGCTCTCCTTTACAATATATCCAGGCCTCCACAGCCCCATCAGGTCCAGGCACATCATTTCCCACCTGGATAAGGGCAGTAGTCTCCTGACGGATCTTCCTGGGCCCACCTTGCCCCGTACACAGCCAGAGGGTCCTCCTAAGCCTTCTCATCCTTAAATCAGATCAAGTCCCTTGATTCCAAACCCACCCTCTGCCTCCTCAGCTTTTACTCCTCACAGAGTGAAAGCCAAAGGGCTTCCAATGACACGAAGGCCCTATACCAGTCTACTCAGCATGTGGTCCACAACAAAGTACAGTGAGAGAAGGTACTGACAAACTTTTATAGCGATCTGACATTGCTATAAAATCCAAACACTGATATAAAAAGTATCAGTCTGAGATGGATTAGGAATGGAAAGAACTGCTCCCTACCAGAGTGAGTTTGAGAAGCAGTCCTACACCTTCTCCAGGCCCTACCTCTGCCATACGCCCACCCT